CACAGCAAAGCCAGTAACTTGCAATTAAGCTTTTCAAAATAGTTTTTGAAAAGACAACGTTCATAACCGGGTCACAGAGACTTCTTCCTTCGATACTACCCATCTACAATTCTTATAAATCTCTTTCTACAACCTCTGGCAAGACGACGCTCGAGTCTAAATACAGAAAAAAAAAATAGTCCACAAATACAATCTGAAAGAACCTCACTCACCAACGGTGAAATCCACCGGTTTCTTTACATTGTGGAAAGTTTCAAATTTGACAGCCATAGTGTTCAAGGCAATATTTTTAATCCGTAGCCATTGTCGTCTTGTTTTCAGGTTGCAATTGTCTTCTGCATGTAGGATCGTGTCTGGTTCCCCCCCTTTCTCAACAATGCTTGTGTTATGACCAGCTTCGGCGGTGCAAAAGCCCTACGCCCAATCAAAATCGCCGCATTTCAAACTGACAGTGTTTGCCGTGATCATTATTCGTACTGTGCATCAACTTAAGGAATCCTACAGGGCAAGCTGCACAGGAGAAGGTACCTTAGCAAAGAGCACAGCTACCGGCCAGGCATATGGTTGATTACACTTACTTTGTTCCAATGCTGCAATTGAGCTGTTAGCTATTTGATCTAAACACAATCAAACCTGGTTAGTACAGAGGATACCTTGGTACTCGTTGTTAATTGGTTCTGGGAAGCGGGATGAGCACCAAAAATGGTGGGTATCAAACACATTTTATCTCATAAGGAATCGATTGAACAGAATAGACCTGGAAGGGACCTTAGAGCAGGGGTCACCAACCTTTTGGACCTCAGGGACCACCCAACTCATAATTTTAAATCCTGCGGACCAGAGACCCTGGGAAAATCCCCCAAAACAGTCTGCAGGACAATTCCGCACCCCGTTTTCCTACCGATCAACCATTCTTTATTTGAGATTGCAGGATACCGTCTCCAGCTCCATTCTCATGGGGAGAGAGAGAGACAGACAGACAGACAGACAGACAGAGAGAGAGAGAGAGAGAGAGAGAGAGAGAGAGAGAGAGAGAGAGAGAGA